TATATATATATATATATATATATATATATATATATTAAAGAAGAAACCTCGTGCAATGACGTGATCTCTTCTCAAAACAAGAAAACACTTTATCTTTTTTCTTCTTTTCTCAATCTTCTCCCGTCTCAATATTTGTTTTTGATTTTTGATATTCACATTTGAGATTCTTTAATTACGTTGTTTCAACCTATTCATGTTCCCTCTAATAATTATTATTTTAACTCTTATTATTCAGTTATAATTTTTCATATTCCCTCTTCATGGTACACCTCTATAATTAGAGGTGCTCATTGGTTGGGTTGATCGGGTTGAAGACATTTAAATAAACCAACCCAATGCTTGCGGTTTGAAAAATCTTAACCAATCCAACCCAAACGAAAGTGCAACCCAACCCAAACCATATGAGTTGGTCGGGTTGATACTTTGATACATTAAAATATTCTTCTAACCTTGAATATGTTATCTCTACTCATTTTTTTTTATCATCAACCATTTGATACAACTAATCCATATTTCTTACGTATATCACATTCAGTTAATTTTCTCAATTTACGTATATATGTTTACAGTTACTAAACATATATACAAATGAGTTATATAGAGATGTGAATAGATTGAAAAGATGTGTATATGAATAGCGTACATGATAGTGTAGTGTAATTGTCTAGTTCAAATAAATTTAAAACAATATAATTTATTTTATTGATTTTAAGTTGAATGGACCATCATGACATGTGGCTTTATCAACCATTAAATAAATCGGGAGTCTTTATTGGCTGCTAGACAATAATGCAATAATTGCTCAAGTGGCATACCAAACTTTGTTCAATAATCATTAAAAAGGAGCATGTTTTAGCTACGTGCTCCCATAGAATTAATATCAACGTCAAAATTGGGTAAAACTTGTAGACTATATAACTTTGATTTTTGCCTCTTACAAGGAAGTTGCATGATGTGGGAAAAGAAAGGCTATTTTCAATTGGTCTTATAAGATCATCTTAGGATTGTAAGGTAGTGTTTTGTATGCAGACTGGATGAGACGGAAGAGGACGGGGCGGGACATGACTAATTGGATGTCCTATGTTTGGTACGACTAGGACATGACATGACATGACATGACAAGAATGTTAAAATGATCATATTACCCCTAAATGTTGTTTAATGTTATTTTATATTATGTAATGATTGTAAATGACAAGAAATCAACCAAACATATATTTAAATTATTTAATCTATGGGCTTCTATCTAATTCTAGCTGAACTAGATTTAAGTCGGGAGTTACTTCAACCACCAAAGACTGCTATCTTCAAAATGTAATGCACTCTCCAAAAATGCCATCTTGCTTGTGCCTAAAAATGACACCGAAAGCTCTAATCACTAGCCCTTAGGTCTACCACTACTATGACCTGCTCTACATGTCAAATAAGAAAAATGTTACTTACGTCTAATGAGTTTAGACAGTCATATGGGAAAACCTAGCTGAAAATTGGGTTTTAAACATGCATATGCATTCTCGTGATTTTTTTCCGCTACTAAAGTCGCCCACGTGCAAAATCTGAAACCAAACGTACAGTGAGCTACACGGGTTTGACCACGGTCGAGCCGCTTAAGCTATTGTTTTTCCTAAAACTAGCCACTTTTGGCCCTTCAAATAATCTTGATCACAAGTAGCACTAACCCAAACATAAACATAGGGTTTTCGCTTACAAAATTCATAAATATGAAATAAGAAACATCAAATTTTTATGAGTGTTACAAACCTACCTCCTCCACCACTGTCGGCCGCCACCAGCACCACCATCGTCTATCATCTTCATATCCTCATAGTCACTGTATTCGACCAACCACCACCCCTCTACCTCTACCACCATTGACATTGCATCAACTTCCACCGTGCCTCCTCTAAGTCATAAAGATCTTCCAAACTGAATAAAACATAGTTTTTTCTTTGTACGAACCGGTTTTTTCGTACTACCATCAATTACATCAAATGCTTCATTCAAATTTGATTTTTTTTGTACGAATTGGGTTTTTTTGTACTACTATTATGTATGTATGTAAGTATTTATGTTATGAAAATTGTGTAAAAATGTTTATAAATTAATTTATCTAAATATTTGCTTGGTTTGTGTTATTTATACCTATTATATGATATATATATATATATATATATATATATCATGATAACTGGGTTCAGGTTATATAATTTGAGGTGGTTTTGAAAGTTTTGGTAAGTAAATCATTTAAAAAAATCTATGTGTGTTTACGTGTTTATTTATTTCTTCACCTATTGTTTATATATATATATATATATATATAGGAGTGATCAAATGAAAACCGCCTCATTTGTGTAAACCGTGCAAACCACCTTCATCCGTCGATTTCATTGTTTAATCTTATGAATTTTTTTCATGAAATTGTTTAATTTTGTGAAATTGTTTCATATAATACTTTTTTTTGATGAAATTGTTTCATATATGGTTGTGAAATTATTTCATATATACTTAATGAAACTGTTTCATGTATTTCTCTAAAATTAATGAAACTATTTCATGTATTTCTTTAAAATTAAAAAAATGAAGATGATAATATCTATGATTAGCACCATCCACAATAAAAATGATTAATCAATCTCTCATAATTACAAAAAAATGAACAAAATGAAAATATATGATTGGTTGAATGCGGTTTGCACGGTTTGTACAAATTGAGTGGTTTGCATTTGATCGCTCCTCTATATATATATATATATATATATATATATATATATATTTATTTATATGTTTGAATGTGAGTAAAGAATTTTTAAATATTTTAATCTTCGCCGCCTATTGCCTAATGAAGTAAAAGCATGGAGATAAACTTTTTAATCTATTCTTGCTATTTTGGAAAAGGAAAAAAAAGGGGGAAAGAGAGAAAAGTTATTGTGTGAAGAAGCTGATTCTGTGTGATCTTGTTAAGGATACAAGTTGATTTGGTGTTATTATTTGAAGTCATCTTCAAATTTTTGTATATAAGGTGAGTTTTACAAATGCTTTGGTAGTTAGATTTTGATGTGTTTATTCGGTAGTCAGGATATGTTTTCCCCCTTTCTCCCACCTCCCGGTAGTTAGATTGTATACATTTGAAGATTAAATTGTATATTTTAAATCGTATGAATTGATTAGTTTTAATTTGTTCACAATTTTGGTTTGTTATATTCTGACCAGGTTTTGTATAAGTAAATACATGAATTATGTAATTTCAAGAAATTTATTTTTTAGATTAATACAATTTAGCGACGGATTAGAGTGGAAAAATCCGTCGCTGAAAGTCCTTGAAAATTTTCTCGCTGATCCGTCACTGAAAGTTTCCTCGTTGATCCGTCGTTGAAAGTCCCGTCACTGATCTGTTGCTGATATATTTCCTCGCTGATCCATCGTTGAAGTTATTCCCTCGTTGATCCGTTGTTAAAAGTATCCCTCGCAAATCCGTCGCTGATAGCATTACCTACGAGCTTTTGACCGACGGAGTATCAACGATGGATCAGCAACGGATGACCCTTTTAGTAACGGATTTACGAGGGAAATTTCCGTCGCTGATACTCTGTATTTTTGTAGTGGAATGAAGAAATCTTTTATAATTATTTTCATGTATTTTTAAATGGGTTTTCTTGTTTGTATGTTTATATATTCACATTTGTGGACACGTCTTGTGTATGTTTGGGTAAATATATGCATAGTTTTACATATATTGTTTAGCTTACTCATGTCTTTTTAACTCTTTTAAAAAATTTAGCAGCTATTGTATACGGGTAAGTATTTAACAGAAAAACATATCTTTTAGAAACGTTTTGCCGACATTAGTACTATAAATTACAAAGGATTCAAAAAGGTGCGTCATAGCACTATATGGCATAAGGCGCGTCTCTGCCGTTACGATAAGACTTATAGTGTTATCATCAGGCGTGACTAACGCTATGGCACCTTGAGGCGTGTCATGGTGTGCATTCTTTTACAAGGTTACACTTTTAATTTTACACTTTTATAGATTTATCTAATCACATCACTTAGAACTTCCCGAATTCATACACGTCAAGGACCCACGGTTAAAACAAAGTTGTAAAATTATCTTTATAAGTTCTTTTTTGAATACTTCATCAAATATTATTTTTACAATAATAATCTATATAATTTTTCTTCTTCTAATATGAATGTAATTTATCAAATATCAAATTGAATAGCATATCTATAAAACAAATATATATATATATATATATATATATATATATGACATACAAATTTACCGACTTATATCATGCCTTTATTTTTTTTTTTTATGTATTTTGAAATGAGAAACATGAGTAAGTGCAACGAAGGGACAATTGTAGCATCTCCAATAGATTATTCTCCTTCAATTTCTCTTCACATGTGACATTTCTTGTAATGCCAAGAATGCAATGAGAGTAAACAAAGACATTTGACTCTTTTTTAATAAATAAATAAAAGACGTTTTGACTCAAAAGACTTGGACCAGTCAAACGATGACATACATCAAATGTAGATTATATCCGTATATATATATAGATTGGGATCAACGTGAGATTAAAGGGTTTTATTTAGATTCGTAAGAACAATTTTTAATCATTGGATTAGATTTACAATTTAAATATTTATAATCACAAAATTGTCACGAAACTTTTCAACAATCACAAAAATGTCATCGTGCAACTTTAGACCATTAGATCATTAGCTTATAAAGTTGATCAATGAACATAAATTGGTCTTACAAGTCTCACGAAAAACTATATATATATTCAAAAACACGTATTTATATTAGTTTCTCTTTTTCACATTTGTGTTTCCATCCATTAATTTTGCTTATAAATACATGCATATCGTATTGGGCATTTAGAGAAAACACAAGAGCCAAATCAATGAATGCATACACGTGAAAGCTCTTCCTCCTCCACCCATTAACCTCTTACATTTGAAGTCCAAAAATTTTAAACTGTAGATCGATGGTGACAAAAACATTCCTTCTTCTTCTCTTTTGTTCCTTGATCAGATGCTCAACATCCAACGACACTCTTCGAAGAGGCTCCTCGCTATCTGTCGACGATGATTCACACCTCATAACCTCCCCAGACAACTCTTTTACATGTGGCTTCTATTCCTTCCAAACAAATGCTTACTGGTTTGCAATATGGTTCAAGAACTCCAAGGACCGCACCGTCGTTTGGACGGCCAATCGCAACAGACCTGTTAACGGTCGTGGCTCAAAGGTGACATTTCGGAAAAATGGAGTCATGGTCTTGACTGATGTGGATGGCATGGTCGTGTGGGAGACCAACACAACCTCGACAGACGCAAACTACGCGGTGCTGCTTAACACAGGTAATCTTGTAATGAAGAACCAAAAAGGGCAGATTATTTGGCAAAGCTTTGACTATCCAACTGATACTCTTTTGCCTTCCCAAACACTAACAAAGAGCAAAAGCTTGATATCTGCTTCCAGAAAAGAAAGTGTTGAATCTGGGTATTTTAGATTGAACTATAATAACATTAACGTTTTAACGTTAAATTACGATGGCCCAGAAGTATCAAGTGTGTACTGGCCTAGTCCTAATCCCGGGTTTAATGTTTGGGATTTCGGAAGAACCTCATCGAACAGTAGCAAAGTTGCAGTCTTTAACGATTTTGGTGTGTTTAATTCGAGCGATGGGTGGAATTTTAGCGCTTCAGATGCGGGTTTTGGGATAAGAAGGAGGCTAACCATGGACTATGATGGTAATCTCAGAATCTATAGCTTGAATGACTCAACTGCATTATGGTCGATTTCGTGGCAAGCTATTGCACAACCATGTGATGTTCATGGAATTTGTGGGAGAAATGGGATTTGTATCCATGGAGAAAAAGCACAATGTTCATGTCCACCTGGTTTTGAATGGAATGACCCTACCGATTTAACTCAGGGTTGTAACCCACCTTTCAAGAAAACATGTGGAAACTCCTCAAGGTTTCGATTTCTGGAACTACCAAAAACAGATTATTATGGCTTTGATTTGAATAGATCACCACCCATTTCCTTTGAAGCTTGTAGGGACCTCTGCTTGAGAGATTGCAGATGTGAAGCATTCAATTACAGGATAACAGGTGAAGGTTCTTGCTATGCGAAAAGTGCTCTTTTCAACGGCCTACGGTATCCTAATTTTCGAGGCACGACCTACTTGAAAGTGCCAACAAGCATGGAAACCCCCGAGTTTTCCTCAATCTTTACATGCACAGATGCCCCAGTAGTCATGATAGGATCTCCATCCATGTACGAATCACCCGACAAAAAGGTGAAATGGATCTATCTATACTCGATCGCTATAGCCATTGGTGTGGTAGAAGCTTTGCTTATATTATTGGGGTGGTGGGTTTTCTTTGGAAATAATGCATTAGTAGCGAGCTTAGAAGACGGGTATCGCATGATATCAAGTCAGTTCCGGGGTTTTACTTATCAAGAACTGATAAAGGCAACAAATAACTTTAAGGTTGAGATAGGCCGAGGCGGCTCGGGGGCCGTGTATAAAGGGGTTTTAGAAGACCAAAGGATGGTGGCTGTGAAAAGACTCGGAGATGTGAGTGAAGGAGGCGAGTTTTGGGCAGAAGTGAGCACGATAGGTAAAATCAATCACATGAATCTAGTACGAATGTGGGGATTCTGCTCGCAGAAGCAACATAAACTTGTCGTATACGAGTACGTGCAGAATCTTTCTCTTGACAAAAGACTCTTCTCCTCGAGTTTTCTTCAGTGGGAACAAAGGTTCAATGTTGCCATAGGCATAGCGAAAGGTTTGGCTTATCTTCACCATGAGTGCCTAGAATGGGTGATTCATTGTGATGTAAAGCCGGAAAACATTCTTTTAGATGCTGCTTTCGAACCCAAGATTGCTGATTTCGGTCTTGCAAAGCTGTCTGAGAGAGGTGGACAAAATTCAAAGTTCACTAAGATCAGAGGGACGAAAGGCTATATGGCTCCGGAATGGGCTCATAACCTGCCTATCACAGCAAAGGTCGACGTGTATGGCTATGGGGTCGTGGTTTTAGAAATGGTAAAGGGAATTCGACTTCCTAATGTCATTGTTCAAGGAGAAGAGGAAGAATCAGCGCTAATGAGGTTTGTAAGGTCAACGAAAAGAAAGATTCTAAAAGGAAAAGAGTTATGGATCGAAGAGATTATGGATCCGAGGTTGGGAGGGTTATATAGTAGGAAGCAGGCTGCAAAACTCGTTGAAATTGGTATTGCTTGTGTGGAGGAAGACAGAAACAAAAGGCCAACAATGGGTTCGATAGTCCAAGTTTTAATTAATTGCGAATCTGAGTTGTTCTACAAAGAATAGGACACTAAATTTAAAAAAAAAAAAAAAAAAAATCTTGTTCATTTATGCAAAATGAATTAAATGTATTATAGCATGAGGAACAGGGTATGTTGGGTAAACAAGTATTTATTTTACCAAACATTTATCTGGATAAGCACTTACCGGAAAAATTCAACATTAAGATTTTAATCCACCAAAATGGTATCAAATGCAACAATTTACCCGATAATTAAGCACTAACCGTGGTAAGAGTCATCGCTCTTACTTACCGCCTAAGACTCTCGGTACTTGCCTTTGCTCTTACCGAGTAAGATTCTTGGTACTTATCATATTTATCCGCTAAGATAATGTTACTTGATAAGCGCTTATCCAGGTAAACGACCCCTAAATCTACTCGAGTAATAAAAATGGGTCTATGGAAGTAACAATTTTAAAACCGAATAGGTATATTTTTCTTCAATCATGAAAAATTAAGTCAACGTATTCAAGTCTTCTGTATATATGTGTCGTGGAGGATAGGGTACAATGTGGAATTAACGGAGTGTTTATTGGATTGAGTAACTTGTAAGACCGGGTTACAAAATGGACGGATACGACACATCCAATAACGACTTAAAATAAATTCGTATTTGAACAAATTAATTAAATGAGGAGTATTTTGTTTTCTATACAATTTTTAATTCTCTTTTACAAAATTTAAAAAGTATATTACTTATATATTATGTTATTTAACTTGAAATATAACATAGTGAAATTATTTCATGATTGCCAAATAATTTGGCAACCAATTAATAACCATGTTCACTACAACAAAATTGGGTTTATAGAACATTCTCAATCTCTAAGCGTCCCAATAGACCAATCTATGTGTTGACGATGATTCACACCTCACAACCTCCCCAGACAACTCTTTTACATGTGGTTTCTATAGCTACAACCACACCAATGCTTATTGGTTTGCGGTCTGGTTCACGAACTCCAAGGACCGCACCGTGGTTTGGACGGCCAACCGCCACAAACCTGTCAATGGTCGTGGCTCAAAGATGACACTTCAAAGAAACGGAGTTATGGTTTTGAGCAATGTGGATGGCACGATCGTGTGGGAGACCAACACAACATCTTCCACTGATGCAAATAGAGCAGTGTTGTTTAATACAGGTAACCTTGTATTAAAGAATGAGAAAGATGTTATTCTTTGGCAAAGCTTTGATTATCCAACTGATACTCAGCGCTAATGAGGTTTGTAAGGTCAACGAAAAGAAAGATTCTAAAAGGAAAACAGTTATGTATCGAAGAGATTATCAATCCGAGGTTGGCAGGGTTATATAATACGAAGCAAGCTGCAAAACTCATTGAAATTGGTGTTGCTTGTGTGGAGGAAGACAGAAACAAAAGGCCAACAATGGATTCGATAGTCCAAGTTTTAATTGATTGCTAGTAGTAACCCAGGTTCTAATTGATTGTGAGTCTAAGTTGTGCTACGCAGAATAGGACATTTCTTGTAGATCCGTCTGGGACCAACATTTGACAAATTGTTACCTTTAAACTCTTGTAGATCCGTCTGGGACCAACATTCTATCATGTTTTTCTATTTTCGTTATGAGCTAAGTACCTCTTTGGGTGTGGGTGTGAACCGAATTTAAGACAACATTTGGGTGTTACCAATATTGCTACTTTTTAGGCATGGCCACTTGAGTCGAAGTCTTAACGAGGATAAGTCGATCACTTTGAAGTGTTAATATTGCATCTTAGATCCAAAGATGGATTGATTCGAAATACGACTTGAATTATTATCAAAGATTTGAGAAAGTCTTTGATAAGTACGTAGATATACGAGTTCTCTATGATTTTTGCTAAGGTCCAAACATTGATCAAGATTTGCATTATAAAGAGATTTGAGTATAAATCTTCATAATAATAGAACTTTGATTCATTAAATCAACTTAACTAAATCGACAAGCTTAGAATCTGAAATAGTGGTGACTTTGTGGACACTGTTTATAAAGATTCACTTTCGAGTTATCAGAATCTTTATGGACGTTTTTGTGACATGAGTCTCTGACTATCGTGTCATTATCATTGTCTTAAAGGAAACTTACACCTATATTCATCTTTTAATTAATAGTTCATCTCAGGGTCAGGCGCCATGAACACATTGAACTATAATTAATCTTTTCTCAAGTTTTAGGATCACATAAGGAAATTGCCATTGTTCGTCTTTTTGTTCTCATTTAACATATAATAGTAATAAAATACTTGAGCAATTTCACCATCAAAAACATAAATTTTTCTCACAGCCGAAATTTGCACCAAGAAGTTCATAAAAGTCCCAAAATCTCAGTAGTTTGGTCACTTGGAAACGATCTTGGTATACTACCACTTTTATTGCTTGAAGTGATCATAGCATCGGTGTGCATTTGTACTGCCACTCGAGCAACACTGTGGCCACTTTATGGACCTATACAATTTTCCAGTATCATGTACCAACAAGTCAAAAGGCACACAAGTCATTTGTTTAGGATATGGTATCGTGGGTATGAATTGAAGCCATCAGAAGAAGAGGCATGTTTTTTTAGGTTATGTGCAATGTGCATTCAACCATACCCCTAAAATTTTCTACATATGCAACACATTAGCAGTGATGATCGCGATAACATAGTTCAAATCTAAGAAGTAATAAAAATCCCCTTGTGGTCACGGAGGTTCAAATGCAATGACTTTGTGCTATCTGCAAAGCAGGTGATCACCCTGGGATTAGTCGGCTCATAGCTGTTTGGATATCCAGGTTAATAAAAAAAATGGCAGTTCTAGAAAGTTGATTCGCCAAAATAGAAATCAACCCAAACTTGGTTCCACTTCGATGCAATTTTCGTAACAATGTTTAACGAACTCATGTAACTTATGAATGAGTCAGAATAATAATGTTACAGGAGTAATAATTTATACAACATACATTTACATGTATCTTCCCCTGAATTTGGGAGTATGGAATTTCCATATGAGAAACCAAGGGATAAAGGCTTTCTTCCATCCCCTCTACCTCTATCATGCATTCATGAGTTTATTCAATTGCAGCCAACAAAAGGGTAAATTTGTACTTTCCCACGCTTATATTTAACCCGACTCGATGCTTTTAACAAACTTCTTCGCCTGTCCAACAAATGAGAAAGTAATCAATCATCACAAAACATTCGAAAAGTGACATTCCTATCAACCAAATGTCTAAACTACCCTTTAACGACAATGATCCATGTTGACCCAAGGGCAAGAATTTCATACTCGCTCCCATTACAATTGCAACATGTGACTCGATACATGGTTCAAAAGAATGCCGTTACCATTATTATTAAGATTTCGTTAGAAAGAGGTTTAGACAAACGACATAAAGATTTGGGATAGAACGGATACCTGCTCCAAGGTGAGAAACATGATGACATTCCAAGAACCTAACCTTCCAAAATTCGGAATAAAGCCTTTGTAGAAGGCAAATGGTCCCTGCAGTTACCATCAAACCTAAGAGATCATAGTTTTTTTTTTTGATTAACCTGGATATCCAACTCGTTATGCGAGCTGACTAATCCCAGGGCGACCACCTGCTTTGCAAATAGCCCGGAGTCACCGCATTTGAACCTCCGTGGCCACAAGGGGATTTTTATTCCTCCTTGGATTTGAACCTGGGACCTCCTGGTACTTTTGACCTTTGGAGCCAAGCTCAAACCAATCAGGCATCACCCTTGTGGTTAGAGATCACAGTTACCACTTACCACCATCAAAAGATAGATTAATTCTCATAACCAACTTACATCATTCTTCAGTGTCTTCACAAAACAATCAATGGTCCCTTTGTAACTTGGATCACCCATCATTCTTGATTTAACCTGCAAAAATGTACCTTTTATCCCTTAACAAAACATGTCAAACAAAAGGTACTTGCTTTATGCAGTTTGTCATTCCATATATATGTTTCTAATCGTGTACAGATACTGATAAGATTATATTAGAAGATAATTAGATTTTGAATAAGTACCACGTCAACTGGGGATCCAACACAAACCGCAACAAATCCTGCACCTAAGCCAGATAATAGATGAGTGAGGACATTATCCGTGAATCCAGGGATCTTCAGAATCGTCTGCAAGGTAATAATAGCATCCAAAACAAACATACATAGTTACAACTCCTTGACACGCACTATCCTTGATTAGTTTCATATTCACAATGAATGATTGTTCAACAACCTGCTTCACTTGATCATAGCTTGCTAGTTCCGCGGCATTTATGATAGCATTACGAGCAACATTTGGCCCCAGTCCAGTCCATAGAGCTCTAACCCCTTCCTGAAATTAATGCATGTGATTAGTTGGTTTTTTCTATAAAAGAGAAGTAAATAAAAGCAACCGAGGAATGGATGAAAAAGATGATTCAAAAGATCTGGTACATTACTTGTCTCACAATCGTTGAATAAGCATTTAATGCGCCAGAGTAACGCCTTGGCACACCAGCCGCCAATTTTCCTTCAGCTTGAAGGCGGACTTTCACTAGATCAGTAGGATTTGCTACAGATATTGCAAGAGCACCTTGTCGAACAAAATTATAAAACCAAAAAGCAACGAAATTAATCATCAGTAGCCGATATTGCAAGATCAGGAAACCTTAAGCTATAGCTATTCGTTGCAGAATAGACATAGATAATCCATCACATATGCTCACCAGTTGTAAGCCCAGCAAGTATTTTAGTCGTCAAAGGAACATCTCCAACAAAGTTATCACCCACATACAAGTTCTTGATCTGTTATGCACACACGAAAGAAACAAACCTTGAATTGATTCACTTTAAAGATTACCAAATGGATAAAGGGTAAGAGCAGAAAGATGCATACAGGTTCGTACAAGCCAATTCTTAAACCTCCAAAGAGACATTGGCGATGTAATCCAGGAACAATGCCTTTCCACAAAGAAGCAAGACCTTCTTCTCTTGCAATAGTTCCAACTGTACCCAACATTCCCTTATATTTTGGTAAACCCATTCCATCCCCTGCAACTGCTTTCTTTTGTAGCTGAAGCCTCACCTTTGCGGTGTCTAATGGAATCGTACAAATCTGAACAATTTAAATCTAACCATTACAACAAGTGTGCTTGATTTCTAGCTTTCAAGAAAAATCATCATGCTTTGGCACAATGCTCTTGTTTTGCATGTATATGGCTTCTTTTTGGGGAATTTTTCCAACCATAATGGCTGTTTTCACACCAAGACATTGGTGAGACTGATTGTGCTCAACAAGCTTCTTAGTTTTGTGTTATTAAGGGTCTCTTAAATATCTGATTGTAAGTCAAATACTTTGATTAAAACCAATTGGAAGTCAAAAAGTTCCATTTTTTGGGACAAGAAAGTGTTTCTTGAGTCTGGCAGAAGAACAACTTCACAAAAATAGCCATCTAAAGCTTAGATCTTTCCCACACAATCAATCTCCAAGTGTGAAAATCATGCATCATCTGTATCAACTCTCAAGTATCAATAGGAATGCAAAAGATTGACTTGAAGTTGATCTTGTATATAGCTAGATTACTCGGAAACCAATTGGAACAGTGTGTTAAGTAATTGCCTAAACTACAAAGGGGTAGAGCAAAACCCTTGACGCAAATAAACTGCCAGCAAAACTTCATAGCTTTAACCACGACGATCAAACCAATGTACTCAAAAAACAGAATTCAATCGATTTGCATAGCAGATAAAGATAAAAGACAACAAAGTCAAAGAGAGAAACGACTTATACGAATATGAAGTAAAAAGAATAACTGTAATAAGACCCGGAATACTAAACCTCAGCAAAACAAGCTGCAAAAGCGCTGCTAGCGAAAGTGCCGGCGAAAGAGATGTCGGATTTGGAATCGCCGGCGACCATGGTTGAGGAGAGGAGAGGAGAGGAGATGAGAAATGCAAAGGGGAGTAAGATGGGTTTTAATGCAAAGCTTTATAGGAAAGAGAAAGATGGGGCACGATAAACAGCGCAAAAGAATCTTGGGAGAAGTGAGAGGGAAGATGGCAAGGGACAATATATTTATTCTGGCCAAAGTTGCTCAAACCACCCTTGTAATTTGAATGATTTACATAACACTCCTCTCAGGTAGACATGGGAATGGGGCGGAGATGGGTTGAGACCTCAATTCCCGTTCTCGATTATTTGTCTTCATCCTTATCGGGGAATATAACTACATCTATGGGGAAACAGGGATTCATTTTTCGTTTATGTAAGTTATATTAAATTGAATATGTGACAGATCATACATGTTTAAATCTCAAACATTTTCAATAAACTTAAAAGCAAAATGAATTTAATTTAATACAAAAAAACCACAATATCATATAAGAATTAATAACCTAAAACCAAAAAAATCAATATAATCAAAAAAAACTTAAAGTCATATGTACCAAGATATTGAGTAAATAAAATCATATCGAGTAATATACAAAACTTATCAAGTAATTGTATTTTGACTTGACATCCAAAACATTACATACTAACATAAAAAAAATTAGATTATAAACCTATTTATAAAATATGAAATAGTTGTTGGCAATAAGATCCAAAGACAAAATAGTGGTGTTGGATTTCTCAAACCATGCTCTAGGTGCCTGTTAGAGATCATATAGAACCTTTTGTAAACGAGATCATATAGAGCCTTTTGTAAACAAGGTGGATGAGACACCCTGAGATGAGGGTTTCATATAAACTTCCTCAAAAAGATCACCATTAAGAAGGCATTTATAACATCCATCTAATGGAGTTGCCATTTGTATACAGTTGTAATGGTGATGCAAAAGTCTMCCCATAGTCTATGTCATATTCTTGATTGAATCCTTTAGCTACTAACCTGATTTTATACTGATCAACTGACTCGTCTGACTTCCTCTTCATTTTGAATATCCACTTGGAACCAATGGTGCATTTTGTAAATGAAAAAACATGAGAGTGGGTGGGATATATATATATAGAGTTCGTTTCAAATACAACTCATCGTATTTGTACAACCAATGCAACCCAATAAATTGAGATATTTATAGAAATGGTGAGAGTTCATTTATTATGATTTGAATGTTTATGTAAGATGAATAGAGTTCATTAATTATGATCAATAATTTATATTAAGAAACAATCAAAACTTCTATGAAATCACATATTAATCAAATTAAATAGACGGTTGAGATTGGATTGTATTGGTTGTACAAATGTAAAGGGTTGTATAATAACTCACCTCTATATATATAGGGGTTGGTTCAGATGCTAACCAAGATTATTGTGTTAACTTTGTTAACCGATCTTGGCCGTTAATTTGAATAATAAACGGTTGTGATTTAATGGTATTTTAAAAATTAATTATTAAATTAATATTTTTATTTAACATATGTGAACAAAATATCAAAGGGTATTTAGGTAAAAAGTAATCTATCTTTGATACACGAGTTGTCAGACATATGAACAACTTGTGTATATCCTCATACCACATCAAACAAAAAATATTAGACATACGAACAACATGTGAACCGTTGAACATCTTCTGTATATTCAGGAGCCAACTCTGTTGTATGTACATGAACACCTACGAAGCTTGTGTTCACATGAATCACAGATACTGTTCATATTCATGTGATGTGATTGTGCATATGTATCGACATGAACATCTATTGCCTTTGATACGTGTTCATTTAAACGAATTCAAATGTCATACTAATCACTTACCAATAGGAACACTTTGATCATTTTCTTCATTATCGGAATCCGAATTCCGAATGTAATCGTAGACGATTTTAACTTTCTCATTTCCATTGTTGTCGATCTGTTTTACAATAGGTTTATCCATATTACTCGGACGATATCGAAATCTTTTACACTTACGAAATCAATATCATTATAGGTAGAACATCATTTGTAAATTAGAAACATGAACACGTATGAAAACCAATTTCAATATTACATCATGATTAATTAATGAGATTTTTCAGATTTGTAACTCCCAATTAATTATTTGAAAGTTACATAAATGGAAAATTACCTAGTTACCCTTGTAGTTAATATATGAGTTACATTTGAACCTAAAGAAAAGATGGAATATGATTGGTTGAGCTTGGTTAACAAAATTAACACAAAATTCTTGGTTAACATTTAAACCAAGCTCTGTATATACCTGACCTATGCTTCAAAAAGTAGAACAACTATTTTCGTAAAAAAGATTACCCCGGCTCATGCAAAGTGTAAGAAAAGAAATGGTAGATCAAGCTGAAAGACATGGGTAAAGATGAAGTTTGCACTAATTTTAACCTCCGCTCTTCACATCACATGTCCCTACTTTGTGTGATTTACAGGGTTCGTTTAGTTTATCTGATGTATTTAACTGTTTATGAAAAGAAACGGTTAAATGAACGCAGCCGGTTTTGATCCTTCCTACAAATTTACTGTTAACCTAATAGCAAATCCATGAAGAAGCATGTAGAATGAAAGTAGCAAGGGAATAAACAAAGCAAGCATGAAACTTGAAGAATTAAATTCCAGGTAGGCATTTATGTTGATTCATATTCATTCTACAGTAGTATTTATACATCCGTATAATCGTAAATGGACCCATAATCACGATATAAATGGAAAATGTCCTTTTGTTCATCAAGTCGAAAATCAAACAAAAAACCCATGGAAATACTCCCAAAAAGAATAAGCTGCTGCTAATATTTGCTCCGAACCTTGTTTCGTGCAAACAGACAAAGAACAACCACACCTGTGGATTGGGTTGTGACGTGTCGCTTATTTCGTCCTCTTCTTGGCTTCGCTGTACAGAATCACTCCCAGCACCGTTAGCAAGTATCCAAGCATCCCCGTTACCGACACTGGGTTCTTGAATATCAAAATCGACACCACAACAGCAACCGCTCCTTTTGCATTTCCCAGAACCTGATCAAACATTTTATCTTCTTTTAACATCAATCGATGTTCATAATTGCAATCAAGAAACCTGAAATCAATCTCATTCATACCTGGAGAGTCAAGGCACTTGTGTGCTTGGTTACCAAGAAATTCGTCAAGTTTACACAATATGCCATAGCAGAATTGAACAGCAGATACCAAACAATGTTGACATCTTTTCGGGCAAGAGCTATAGTAATGCCAACCACGTTCTCTTCCATAAACAATGTTGCTGGAAGCAGTATTACAACCGCTACTGGTGCCATGTACAGCAAAAGGTTCATGGAATTCAGTTTTTCCCTAAACCACACACACAGAAACAAAATCATAAGAAAGCAGCAAATAGATAAAGATAGAGAGGCGAGGAGAGGGGGATTACCCTTCTGAGGAAAGCAATATCCCTTGAAGCACCGACTTTAACGCTCTTGCAGCTGTAGCACCGATACACATGATAAAACCAAACAAATGGAAACTTGGTTCCCCCTGCAGTCACACAACAGATGCCCATGTAAACAACACATAATACCAAACACAAGAATAATAATCATACAGGAAATAGGCATATATCAGAGCCTGGGATTATTTCACAATGACACTTTACAGAATAAAAAATGCAACCTTTATAGACTAAACCAGATTGATAGTGTAAATTCATTTTTATCCATGRGGGGGGGGGGGGTAATGAGGGTTATCCTTTGTTTCACATGATTCAAATGTTACAAAAACACTTGTGCAGTCCTAATACGTCAGGAGGATTAAACAATTCTAAATAGAAGAATACACCTTCTGCCTGTTTTAGATTAGCAGAAGGGTTAACAATGGCATCCATCTACCTTTTTCAGAAGCTCCTGAATCTTACTTAGGCATTATCAAATGCAGTGGCAACAACATGAAAATAACAGTCTGAAATATAGACCATGCTATGTTGACATGCGAGATCGCATTTATCCAAGGAAAAAACAGTTACATGGAGACGCATAAACTGCACAATGGAAAATAAGCTCATAAAAGGAGTCAATCTCCAAAGAATAGCTTCTTGTGCAAAATGCAAATTGTATGGAGGAATTTAGACTCAAAATAACAGCACTCTAGAAATAGTCAGGATACAAAACCATAGGAAGAGACATGGTTTTGATTACCACAATTAAGAGACTTTATGCAATTGTTCCAAGTATTTGTGCACAACCTTACATTCTAAACCATCAACATGTATCCAACAATGCCCAAATGCATCTTTTAATGAATAAGATAAGCAATGGTTTGAAAAGCAGGCTTAGAAATGGCAACAAGAATGTGGCTGTCAAAAAATAATATTAACATGAAAATTAGGGGTGAAAGCGGGTTGGGTTGGGCGGTTTACAACAATTTTACAACCCAACCCAATTATGGCGGTTTGGAAAATCTCAACCCAACCCAACCCATTCAAAAGTATAACCCAACCCAACCCTTGCGGGTTGAGGCGGGTTGGGTTGGGTTGGGTTGGCGGGTTAGTAGTTACATAATTTGACATATGAAATAATTCATTAATCTTAAGTTTATAGACCATACTATAAAGCGTCCTATCTAAAAATGTTGCAATAGGTTTATAGGACGTTTTTTGACGTTTCAACAAGTGTTTTAGAATGATCTTTAAATAAAATGTCGTATTAGTTATYTYATAGAAACATTTTGAGAAGTGTCCCGTAAACTCATCTATTTATAGGACACCTATGCTCATATGRCATTYTTTCAAGTCGTGTTGTATAAAATAACTAATACGACACTTTATTTTAAAAACATCATAGAATTTGTTAAGACGTCCAAAACCATCCTATAAACATATTGGAACTCTTTTAGATAAGACATTTTTATAATGTAACTCTTTAAAAGCATCATAGATTGATGGATTCGTCCATCAAATATCAATCAATATCATTCATATTTCCCAACATATCAATTTGTTGTTGCTGCAAAAAAAATCAATAATTTTCCTTATTAATTAGATTATTTGTCATCATTCTTTGATCGTGAATCTCTTTTGGTAACCTATACGTTTAGTTAAAATGAATCAAAATATAATATCAATAAAAATTATATAAAATTTATACATTATTAATATATATATACATAATAACCATATATATATATATATAAATTATATATTAGCGGCGGGTTGACGGGTTCGGCGGGTTGAGCTAGGCTCAACCCAATTTCAACACTCTTAATTAGCGGTTTGGCGGGTGGGCGTTTGGCGGGTAGACGGGTTGGGTTTAATTGGGTTGTTAGCGGGTTGGGTTGGGCGGGTTTCGTGGGTTGACGGTTTTTTGTTCACCCCTAATGAAAATTGAAAAAACAGAGAAGGGCATTAATGCAGAAAGATGGGGGTGAGGTTAAGCTTGAACCACATTAACGAAAAATGGAAAACCATGGTCAGAACCTACGTCCCTCGTATGGCAATAGATCGACATTTTTGTGACTGTCATATATCAGTCATCAGCCAGGAACAGCTTTAACACTCTCAAGTTTATTTAGCAAACCATTCATATGCACACAGAATACATCATTGCCTAACTCTTCTATGCAACTTTAGATCTAACAATTTCATTTAATAGTTTATAGTTATAGGTACCACAAAAAGAATATCAATAAATATAGTAGGAGGTTAATTCTTGACCAGCTTTTTCCATGGTATATAGTGCCATTCAGTCACATGGCAACAGAAGCAAGCAAAGGCCAAAGGCAATACCAACTTGCACTGAATACTAAAATGAAGCTACTAGGAAGTACACAGGTGAACTCAGTCTCAAAATCAAAAGTATATACAATAACTTCACATGTTAACTCAAGTTACTGAAATCGTTGGAACAAGATAACATGAGTTGTCTTTGTACCATGATAACATTACATTTATATAGATGTGCAACAACAGACAGTCTTTGCCTTATTCTATGCCGTTTCAAGTAGTCTAGTTTTGGATGAAGGAACAAAGAATCTCGCCAGTCACTAGAAGTCGTCTTGGCAACACATAAATTGTACTTGGAGTTAGCAATTTGTTCAAAATGATGTGTACCTGACACCCAATTTTAAAAAATGCATAATGCAATCTACACAACCTGACTACTATGTAGTAGTGTATTCCAAAACAAGATGCTCTGGCAAAAGTCAAACTAACCATTTTCCTGGACAAACTCTTGAGTTTGGCAAAAGTCTAATGCAGGCCATAGAGAAGTTTCATTCCTGAACTTCAAATTCTTTTGAATTCTAATTCCTTTTCTATGGAATAGGTATATTGTCTGGTCGAATTTACGTTTCCCTCTTATTAATTAGTGGCGAAATCTACGTTATCTAAATTCTACAAGTTATGAATTGTCAATTGTTAAGACCCACATCCAAACTTTGCCTCCTCCTCATGAATCAATGCAAATTTAGTCAAGCATGAATCTTCAATAATCATTAGGGTTTTAAGATCAATTTATGTACTGTTAGCTTATTGAAAAATTCAGTTACTTGAAAGCCAATCAACACATGAACATCAAGGTATCAATAAGATTAGAGATCATACCCCACTGGCAATGACAACACCGGTGACCACAGGTAAAAGAGTGAGATAGGTCAACCAAGCTTCCCTCTTCACCGTCATAATATAAGCAAACACCGCGGTAAAAAAAGGAGTGGTGGCTCCAACCGCCTGCGTAAACGAAACCGGCAAATACCTCAAGGAGACGTTCCCACTAACCACCGACGCACAAAAGACCAAACTAAGCACAGAGATCTTGATAAACTGAGCCCTAGACCTAACAGTCTGTAAAGGCACCATCTTCATCCAAACGATTGCAATGTAACTGAGCAAAGAACAAGCCGTCATGTGACACATGGTGAGAAAGATCGGGTACTTGAATCCATAGTTGCTGAGCAAGTATTTGTTGAGCAGGAGTACTCCAATGTTAGATGCATACCATGATGACACGAGCCCGATCGTAAACCATTGGCCCGTGCCTCCCTTCATTAAAGTTTTTTGTTTTGTTTTTCTTTATTTCCTATCTAGGGTTTGTGGATTTCGATGATGGGTTCAACATATATGGAATTAGGGTTTTGATGAAATCTGAAAGCGATTATGTGAGGAGAGAAGTAATGGAATGATGGATCTGAGATGAATTTGATGTGTTCTTCCCAAATTGGAAGTCAATTTTGTTCCAGATTTGAGGAGCAAAGGGGTTGAAGAAGGCGCCAGGAAGTGCAGTCACAACACGGTAACGGTAAAAAAAGAAAAAAAGAAAAAAGAAAAAGAAAATTTTGCTGCATTTATTTATTATTTTAGAGACCTCTGCCAGTTGTATTTACCATTGCACCCCTACATTATTTATCAATTCCATGTATTACCCTTGTAAATTACTGTTATGACTCTTGAAACCTTTGGGTTAAGTTGGCAATTATTCTTTATTATTATTATTATTATTATTATTAACCTAGATATTCAACCCGTTATTCGACCCGACTAATTCCAGGGCAATCACTTGCTTTGCAGATAGCCCGGAGTCACCGCATTTGAACCTCCGTGGTCACAAAGGGAATTTTTATTTCTCCTTGGATTTGAACCTGAGACCTCCTGATACTTTTAACCTTTGGAGCCAATTCAAACCAATCAGGCACCACCCTTATGGTTGTTGGCATTATTCTTATTTTTTGCATCAAAAATACGTAATTTTTTGTGTAAAAAATAAAATAAAATTGCTTTCATCCTATAAAGTTAAACAATGTAGATGTATGGACTTGTGAAGCATGACTATTTATTGAGATGGAGGTGTCGTTTACTAAACGCTTACCAAGTCATTTTACTTTACCGGATGAATATGACAAAGACTAAAAATCTTACCTGGTAAGAGCGTAGGCAAATTAGAGTCTTACCTGGTAAGTGAGGACGAAGACTCTTACCATAGTTAGCGCTTACCGGGATAAATTGTTACATACGATACGTTTTAGTGAATCAATAATGTGCGATAAGTAAGTGATAATGTTAAATTTTACTGATAAATGTTTACCGGATAAGTGTTTAAATAAACAGTCCATGAAATATTATTATAAAAAAGATATATAAATTGATGGTCGGATTTAACATAGAAACAAAAGAATGGGGATATAAATTGTAAACGTGGCTTGTAAAGCATTATATTATGGTTACGATGGATGACCTTCAACAATATTTTAATCGTACCGACAATATTATTTTGAAGGGAGTAAATTGTAACAGTTAGAAAGACTAAAAATAAGGTATATTTATGATAAATTAAAAGTTTATGCGAGATATATATAGATTTTAATATTTTATTTTATTGTGTCTATATAAATATTATAATACTGTTTTTATGTGGTTTTGAGAAATGGATAATGTTTTTATTTTTAAATAAAATATAAAATTTGAACATATCATAAAATTTCGAAAATAAATATATCAATATTAGTATCAAATTAACTATTTAAAAGTTCTTGTTTTTTATGTAAT